GAAACACCTAATCATGTGTGTAAGTGCTCAATCATCACAAGTTACACCAAAAATTAAGCTAAAGGCTAGAGATCGTCCTTTAATCTAATCAACTAATGGGCAAATATTGACAACTTAGGCATATAAATAGGCCTAAGTTCACCACCCCACACTTAGAACTTTGTTTGTCCTTAAACAATCTCTAGACTATCAACTCTTTTTCACAACCCTTGGACTTATCAACTCACCTCGAAATCAACCAAACATTTTCAATCATGATCTTGTAGTTCACAATGGATGTAACAATTGACAATTTTTACGCCAAACAACGCATGCTCAGAGAATGACCCTTTTATTATTTTTCTGGGCCAATGCAAACTCATACAAACACATCAATTATATAAACTTACACATGCCATGAATGTCGTCACTTGTTCTTGTTTAGTAAAGCCTTTCACTCAAACCACTTGCAATATCAACAAGGCCTATTTTTCAAACATCAACTCACCCTCACAAAAGAAGTTCTTACTTTTCTCAACATACCATAAGCTTGCCAATAGTGTATTATTACTTCCGCACACATTTCTTAAGGAATCAAGAGGGCTTTCAATAGGTTGTAATGTCGGCTTAAGGTAAGGGAGGGAATATTTAGGAATCATTTTAGTGACTACACCTCCCAAATGCACATATCATTTTTTGCCAACAATTTTCTTTATAGCTCTTCTTTCCTCCTAGTACACACTTCATGACTATTTACCTTTTTTGTTGCTCCATATTTGCCCTTTATTTCTTTTTCATCATATTTATTTATTTATTTATTTCCTGCCTTTGCACTAGCCACCCAAACTCTAGATTTTTAACATCCAAGTAAGGTACATATTATCCTTGATAGGATCAAGGCCAATGTTTCTAGCATAATTCTAAATCAGTCACCCTCAATTTTAGTCGAGGTGCACATTGTCGCTAAGGACCAGGGCCAAAATAGAATTTCCTTTTTCACACAATGTAGCAATTCACCCTTAGCTATATCAACCAACATTTTCCAACCCTTCTTCTCAACATAGTGCATTAAGGATTTTTCATAGGATCAAAAGACTTGGTATCAAACAACGGGTTTCGGCTTATCATGTAGTTTATCAATAAACAAGTTTAAAGGCTCAATGGGGCTTCACTAGGGATGATTTCAATGGTAGGCATACAAGTAGAGTTAAGAATTGGCTATTTCAAAGAAGCGCCTCAATCACATTCCTTAAATCATTTACGCTACTAATTTAACACACACAAGGCAAGTTCTAGATATCAAGTTAAGAAAGAACCAATCAATTCTCACCACACATGGCATTATGACACATATAAGGATATATCAACCAACATGCTCCTACAACTTGCATTACGGTATCATTACACAATTAAGCCCATTGATTTTTATTTTGAGTCAAAACTAAGAACACATGCTTCTTACAAGATCATCAATCTATTGCACGTTTCCACTTGTGACTACCCATGACGTTTGGCTAACTTTTTTGGATATAGTTTCAAAAGACTAAGGTTAGTTTCTCAATCCTACTCTTCTATGTGACTAATTTTCCCTTAAGACGGTCGTCATCCATCCATCATTGGAAACTGTCACTCCTATGACGACTCTAAGACGCAATAAAACAATAAACTAGTCCTAGTCGGTTCAAAGGGACAATCCTCAGTAAAAGTACTGAAAACAAACGCTGAGGAACCCAAAATTAAAAATTTTAACTAAAAACTAACTCTAGACTCGATAAAGTAGTAAACAGCTATATATAATCAGAGACATATTACCCCACCCCACACTTTAAAAATAAGCATTGTCCGCAGTGCATAATTAAAACAAAGTATAAGGTGAGGAATACTCCCTGGGGCTCTAGGCCTCGTCGTCACCGTGATCAAACACTATCAAGGCATTCACCTCCTCATCTACAACATCATCCTCCTCATCATCCATAGACTCGTTAGCAGTAGCCTCATCATCATCCAAAAGGTCTAAGAATGCGGGACTAGTCCGGCATAAGAATGTTGCACTCTCAGTCAAGGGGTAACGCTCCGCCATGGTCTCCATCTCCGCATCTGTAACTGGACGACCACCTATCCGCAGCTGCAATTCCGCCATCCCAAACATTCTTTCCATGACACTGTTACCACGGGCTTGCCTCTCTTGAGCAGACAAGACATGTCTATGAGATGTGTCTAGCGCCTTGGCGCAGGTCACATCAACCAACTTACCCGTCAAATCTGGGTGATAAGCAACAGTCATGTCCACTGCTTCCTCTTTAATACCCTCAGCCCTCAGAAAACGAGTTATCAACCCCTCGTAACAGAATCTCCACCTTAAATTGTTCCTAAATTTCATCCTGTTTTGCCTTAGGATCGCCCCAACATTAATGGGCATTCCCTTAATCAGCATATAGACTAACACCACCCTATCTCTTATCACCTCAGTTAAATGTTTGGCAGGCAACAACACATTACACACTATTTTCAGCCATACCCTAGCAACCTGATTAAAGTTAGAAAAATGGAGGGTATTATGCCTCCCAGCATCCTTACTCCGCTCCCACCTAGAATCGAATCAACCCCACACAAGGTATGTCGGATATCCCCATAAGGAGGTTTATCTTTCAAGTTATTAAACTCATCAGGGTCACAATTTGGGGTTCCTAACAACTCATTCAGAATTCATGCAGAAAACATGACATCTTTCTCCCTAACAGGCACAGTTTTATATTTTGTTTCAGTTAGCCAATTGGCATAAAATTCTCTCACTAACGTCAAATTGCAATCTCCTGGATTGTCAAATATAAACCTCAATCCTAAATCAATCACAGTCTGATATATAATAGGAAATTGCGACTGCAACCTTACCTCATTCACAAATTCATCGCCCATATACTTCACCTCTTGTTGACAGGCGAACCATTCCCAGCCATACCTTTCCACAGCCTTTTTACCAAATTTTTGCACCGGTTCCTGGCATTAGAGGACTCGGAAGTTTCTCTTTTTCTACTCTGCTTGGAACCCGCCATAATTTTGGCTTTTGGAGCCATCTCAACCTGTTAAGAAAAGAAAACTAAAGAAAGGAAAAAAATGAGAAAAATTATGGGGGAGAGGTCGGGTAGGGTAGTGAGGAAATGGAGAAAAAGAAAAAATGGTGGGGGAATGATGGTTTAGAAGGGGAAGGGAAGTGAGGAATTTGGAGAGTAAGTAGTGGAGGAGTGGGGAAGTGGAGAGTTTATAGGTGGTGGGGAAGAACAAGAGTTTTGTTGGTTGTTTTAATGGAGAAAATGGAAGTGTAATAGAGGAAGGAGAAGAGTTAGGGAAGAAGAATGGAGAAAAGTTTGAAGGATTTTAGGAGTTAGATCGGTTAGGATTTAAGGGAATGGGGGGAGAATGTGGGATTTGGGGGCTTTAAGGGGAGTGGGTCGGGTGTGAAATGGGTCAAAACCCGATTAAAAAAATTCTGGGCAGTAGGGCGATGGGAGGGGCGACGCGCCTCTCAGCGTGCCTGAGAGGGAGCTCTGACGTTCGATGCCAGCCAGTGCGCCTGGCTCCAGATTTTTAATTTTATTTTATTTTCGCTATTATAAGCTAAGTTGCAAAGAATGAAAAATATAATTTAACTAAAACTAAGAACTAAAATAACTTCCTAGATTCTACAAATTAAAATTATGCTAAAAATCAAAATTTCAAACACGAACTCCCTATCTATTACACATTGTTCATGGGTTGCCTCCCATGTAGCAATTGATTTAACGTCGCGGCACGATGCGGCTTGGATCATTCATCATTTAGCTCAAGAACCTCACGATCACGATCTGAATCTTCACCAAAATAGTGCTTCACTCTTTGCCCATTGACCAAGAACGTAGGGCCAGTCTCACCTTGAAGTTCAACTACCCCATGTTGTGTCATTCTAATCACTTCGAACGGGCCATTCCACATTGACCTGAGTTTTCCGGGGAACAACCTTAGTCTAGAGTTAAAGAGTAATACCTTGTCTCTCAGATTGAAAGTACGAGCCACTATGTGCCTATCATGCCTCCTCTTCATCTTTTCTTTGTATATTTTGGCATTCTCATACGCGTGGAGCCTAAACTCCTCAAGTTGATGTCGTTGGTTCACTCTCTTTTTACCGGCTAGCTCGGGGTCCAAGTTCAACTTCTTAATCGCCCAATAATCTTGATGCTTTAATTCCACCGGAAGGTAACATGTTTTTCCAAATACTATGTGATAGGGAGAGGTCCATATGGGTGTCTTGTAAGCAGTCCGATATGCCCACAACGCATCATCTAACTTCTCAGCCCAATCTTTCCTCTGCACATTCACCATTTTCTGCAAAATTTGCTTTACCTCTCTATTCGACACCTCCACTTGGCCACTTGTTTGAGGATGGTAAGTTGTCGCAACCTTATGATGAATACCATACTTAGCAAGAAGGTTCTTAACAAGATGGTTAATGAAATGCTTACCTCCATCACTTATGATTGCCCTTGGCGTGCCAAAGCGAGTGGAGATATGCTTCTTGATGAACTTTATCACCACCATTGAGTCATTGGAAGGAAGAGCGACCGCCTCAACCCATTTGCTAACATAATCCACAGCCACAAGAATGTATTGGTTCCCACTTGATGGTGGGAAGGGACCCATAAAGTCAATACCCCACACATCAAAAATTTCCACCTCCAGAATGTTACTTAGTGGCATCTCATGTCATCTTGAAATAGTACCCAACCTTTGGCATCTATTACATCCCTTCACAAAAGCAACACAATCTTTAAATAGCGAGGGCCAAAAGAAACCAGATTGTAGTACCTTATGAGCAGTGCGCTCTCCTCCATGATGACCTCTATATGGGCTAGCATGCAACTTTCCAACACTTTGTGAACCTCATACTCCGGGATGCACTTTCTCACTATCCGGTCTACCCCTTGCTTGAACAAGAATGGTTCATCCCAAATGTAGAACTTGGCATCATGGTTAAGCTTTTTCTTTTGTTAGGTGGTAGCACCCGGAGGATAATCACCACTTACTATCAAATTCACTATGTCTGCATACCATGGCACTTGAGAGATATCCAATGCCATTAATTGTTCATCCGGAAACTCTTCCCGGATTTGCTCACCTTCATTCACATGTGAAAAATCCTCCAACCTAGATAAGTGATCTGCTATTTGATTCTCCGTACCCTTCCTATCCTTGATTTCGAGGTCGAATTCTTGGAGAATCAATATCCACCGAATCAGCCTTGATTTAGCATCCTTCTTGTTTAATAGGTACCTAATAGCTGCATGGTCAGTAAAAACAATCACTACCAAATACAATCTGAACTTGTCGAAGGCGAACACTAGGGCCAGCATTTCCTTCTCAGTCACTGTGTAATTCGCTTGAGTAGAGTCAATGGTATTGCTTGCATAATAGATTGAGTGGAACACTTTATTCTTTCTTTGTCCCAACATTGCTCTCACTGCTACATCACTTGCATCACACATGAGTTCAAATGGTAATTCCCAATTAGGGGCAATTAAGATGGGAGCCTCAATTAAGTTCTTCTTCAGCATCTCGAAAGCTTTCAAGCACATCTCATCAAAGTCAACCTTCACCTCTTTCTCCAGAAGGCTGCACATGGGTCTTGCTATCTTGGAAAATCCTTGATGAATCGCCTGTAAAAACCTGCATGACCAAGAAAACTACGCACACCTTTTACAGAAATGGGAGGGGGTAATTTTTCAATAACCTCTACTTTAGCCGTATCAACCTCCAACCAAGATTTAGACACCTTGTGCCCCAACACTATCCCCTCTTTTACTAAAAAATGACACTTCTCCCAGTTTAAAACAAGTTAGTGTCTTCACATCTAGCAAGTACTCTATCAAGATTTCGGAGACATACCTCAAAAGACTTCCCAAAGACGGAGAAATCGTCCATGAACACTTCTACAAAGTCTTCCACCATATCATGAAAAATGGCCATCATACACCTTTGAAAAGTCGTCGGTGCATTGCAAAGTCCGAATGGCATGCGTTTGAAAGCATATGTACCATACGGATAAGTAAATGTGGTATTTTCTTGATCCTCGGGTGCAATCAAGATCTGGTTGTAACCTGAATAGCCATCTAGGAAACAATAGTATACCTGCCCTGCTAACCTGTCAAGCATTTGATCAATAAAGGGAATGGGGTAGTGATCTTTCTGAGTAGCATCATTAAGTTTCCGGTAATCCATACAAATTCGCCACCTAGTCACTGTTCTAGTAGGAATTAGCTCATTCTTTTCGTTCCTTACCACAGTCATACCTCCCTTCTTGGGAACACATTGCACCGGACTTACCCACTTACTATCAGAGATTGGGTAAACAACCCCAGCATCTAACCACTTTATCACTTCCTTTCTTACCACTTCTTTCATCAAAGGATTTAGACGACGTTGATGCTGTGCACTTGGTTTGTGATCATCTTCCATGTAAATTTTGTGCATACATAACGCCGGACTAATCCCATGAATATCAGCCATTTGCCATCCAAATGCTTTCTTCCTCCGCTTCAAAATTCTCAATGTCGCCTCAACCTGTAAATCAGACAATTCTGCAGAAAGTATAACAGGAAAAGTTTCATTAGTACCCAAATAAGCATACCTTAGCTGAGCCGGCAAGGCATTTAGCTCCAACTTAGGAGCATCTTCAATTGATGGTTTTGGAGGGGGCCCTAACTCGCGATCTAAGGACTCCATTTGAGTCCTACGAGTTTCTACTACTGCTAGATTTAAGCATGATTCAGTCTCTTGAGCTTCAGCATCTCCCTCTAACTGTTGACCCACTAACACTATTTCTAAGGGGTCTTCAGGCAAAACTAATTGTGACTCTACTATGTGATCAACCACAGTAATAGCAGACAACTCTTCATAAATAGAAAGTAATTTTAAAGCGCGGTAAACATCAAATACCTCTACCTTATCATGTGCCCTAATAGTTCGTTGACCAGCTGCTACATACATCAATGCCCTACCTGTGGCCAAGAAAGGTCGTCCCAAAATGAATGGAACTTCAGAATCGGGTTCAAAGTCTAGGACAACAAAATCTACCGGAAAAATCAATGAACCTACTTGCACTAACACATCTTCTACCACCCCCTCTGGCCTAGCAATGGATCTATCTGCAAGTTGGAGAATAACAGTGGTTCGCTTTGGACTACCTAACCCAAGTTTTTGATATAAAGATAGAGGCATTAAATTTATACTTGCCCCCAAATCACACAACCCCTGGGCATGAACACTTTACCCAATTGTAATCTGCACAGTAAAACTACCTGGATATTTTAACTTTTTGGGCAGTCTGTTTTGGATCCTTGAGCTGCACTCCTCAGTAAGTGCTACAGTTTCATATTCAGTGAGTCTCCTCTTGCTGGCCACTATATCCTTCATATATTTAGCATACATCGGGATACCATGCAAAATGTCAACCAAATGTAGATTAATGTGAACTTGTTTAAGGAGAGAGAGAAACTTACCAAAGCATTCATCTTCATTTTGCTTTTTCAGCCTCTGTGGAAATGGAGGTGGTAATTTCTTTTGAGGAATGGGTACCTCAATATTTAAGCTTTTTACTACCTCTTCCACCTTCTTTTCTTTGTTTGATACCTCAGTGTCTCTTTTCTTAGGAGCTAGTTCCTCTAATTGCAGCCCACTTCTAGTACTTACCTCATGCAATTGCTTTGGATTTGGCTCAGTATCACCAGGCAGCCCGGCTTGGGGACGCAAGTTCAAAGAATTTTCCACTTGCGCAACTTGTTTCTCTAAACTCATTTGAGACATCTGGATGTTTCTAATGTTCTCATCCTGCTTATCTATTCTAGCATTTAATTTGGTCCCTATTTCAGTCATGAGCTTTTAAAGTAGCTCTTCATTTTTCATCCCCCCTTTTGGTACACTAGAATTTGAGCTTTGGATAGGTTTGCAGTATTATTGCCCAACCCCTTGAGAACTGTATTGGTTAACCCCTTGCGCCTGATTTTGGTTTTGGTTCCCACCCCATGAGAAGCTAGGATGGTTCTTCCAACTAGGGTTGTAAGTATTACCATAATTTTGTTGGACTCCACCCCTTTGCGCATTACCCACATAGTTTACGGAATCCGGGTTTGCCTCGCATTGCTCGGTTTCATGAGTTCCACTACCACATACCTCACACCAATTTGTTGCCTGTTGTACTACATTTACCGGAGCCTGATTTAGAGCTGTTTGTTTAAATTGCAATGTAATGTTATGTTGCATTGCATCTAATTTGGCATTTATGGCAGTAGCTTGATCTACATCTAAGATCCCTGCAGCCTTTTGGGTGGGGGTTTTAGACATTTTCCCCTCATACCCTTGGTTCCCTTCTGAAAGTTTATCAAGTAGGGCGAAGAACTCTTCACTTTTTATGGATAAGGCTTGTCCACTTGCTGCACTATTAAGAAGAGAATGAGCATTATAATCTAAACCTTCAAAGAAAGTGTGAGCAAGTACCTCATTGGTTTGCATGTGGTGTGGGCAAGCAATCAACATTTGTTTGAAACGTGCCCATGCTTGGTAGATGTCTTCCCCTTGCTTTTGAACAAAGTTTATTATCTCCTCCCTCAACTTCGTGGTTTTCTTGGATGGGAAAAATCTACTCAGGAACTTCTTTGCTAGATCATCCCAAGTGGTGATGGAGTTTGGTGGCTCAGAGTCTAACCAATGTCTTGCAGCTCCTAACAATGAGTGTGGGAACAAAGTCAACCTTACATAGTCTGTTGAGACTCCAATTGGGATGTATGTATTGGTGATGTCTATGAAAGTTCTAAGATGAACTTGAGGATCCACATGGGGGAGACCAGTGAATTACCCATTAGTATGGAGGATCTGTACCATGCTCTGCTTTAGTTCAAATCTACCCCCCGGTGGAGGTTTCCTAATACTGGATGTCAAGTTGGCTGTGAGTGGGACTGCCACATCACGGACTGGTCTTACGGGAACAATCGGCGGTACTCCTTGGTTATTTGGGTTCCTTGGGTTATTCACGTTTTCCAGGTTATTCACGTTGTCTTGATTATCATCATCAAAGTTTCCTGGAATACCTAACCCCAATTCTCTTTGGCGTCCCTCGTTCATTTTTCTGCGCTGGAGTAAAACTCTTTCCAATTCGTTGTAAGGTTCAACAAGATCTCTTTTCCGAGCCAGACCTGAAAATCAAGTACCTGCAATACACAAGCTAAGATCAAGTAATTAATATATGAGTATATTAAGTGTAGACTTAAGAAGATTGAATATAAATCAATTTCTAAATCCCCGGCAGTGGCGCCAAAAATTTGTTGATCCCTAAAATACACGCAAGTTTACGTGGTCACACAAGTAGTATAGATTATTTAAGAAACAAGTTATTATTTTCAAGGGACTTATGTGAAATGACCCAAAAAGTTCTTAAAAATGTGCTTCGGAAGTTACCGGAAACTTGTTTAGCTATATATATATTAAAAAAAAAACTGTTTCGTTTTTCGAAAATCCGACTTCATATTCTTGTTTAGGGGGTCAAATTGAGTGGGAAATGGGTCTAACCCAAATTTTAGAGCAACCGTATCAAAATCCGAAATTTCCAAGTGAAGCCTTTTTCGAGGGTCTACTTTGGAGGGTCATATCTCCTAGCACACAAATTATTGGGTGGCCAATAACATATCCAAGGAAATCCCTTTGAGTTAGCTACCTAACGCACTTCGTTTCACCTCATTCAGAGTTCGGACGAAGAAGTTATGCCCATTTTCGTAAAATCTGTCCGGCAGGAAAGGCAATTTCCAGTGAGCGTTTTTACTGTTCACCCGCCTCATTTTTTTTTCTAAGTGTTGGACCATTTTTCCAAAGGGCATATGTTATTTCCTATATACCATTAGTTCAATTCCCATCTCTAAAACATTTCCCAAAACAACTCTCCCATACTTAGACACATTTTCTCTCAAGTTCTCTCAAGAACCCTAATCCAAAACCTTCCTCAAGATTGAAGAGACTCTTGCTCCAAGTTCCAAGCTTCCATTGAAGACACTCTCAAGACCTTCATAAAAACTCAAGGTATGTGGTGTTGAACTCATGGGTCCTTCCACCCATAGTGCCTAGACTCTACTCTACTCACTAATTCATGGTTTAAGTTAAGATTCATAAATTAGTCTTGTTCTTTGTAATAATTTCCTGCACATTGAATTTTAAACATGAAAAGTGATTGTTTTGAGCATGTTGTGACTCTAGAACTTGAACGTAAATTTGGAATGGATGTGGAGATTTCCATGTGGTATTGTGGGTGTTAAAAAGGTGTTATTGTAGGTTGTTCACTGGTTTGGCTGCATAATTACTACCCTATTTTCCATGCTCTTTGATTCCATTACATGCCTTCAAGGTTTTTGACAAAATGTCCAACTATGGAGAATTGATGAATCGATGCTTTAAAGCTTGAGTTATGAGATGTATGGAAATCCAGAGATGTGTTGATGACAAACTAAGCTTGTGTATATGTTCATTCCATACGTGAGATTGCATTAGAGCCTAATGGGAATTTCCTATATAAAGTTTTGCATGACCATGCCCGGTCCGGGGGAAAAGAACCGGACAACCATGTGAAAGGTTTATATCTCACCACCTAGGATGCTTGGGGTGTGACCAACATCAACCATGTGAGAGGTTTATATCTCACCACCTAGGATGCTTGGGGTGTGACCAACATCAACCATGTGAGAGGTTTATATCTCACCACCTAGGATGTTTGGGGTGTGACCAACATCAACCATGTGAGGGGTTTATACCTTGCCACCAGGGTGTCCGGGTGTGAACGGCATCCCCCATCCTAAGTTGGGGTTATAGATTGGTTGGATCATGCATACACATATGATATCTACTATTAGTATGGATTTACTTAAACATGTTTTGACTTCACTTTGATCATGCATCCTCATATTGTTATTCATAATGCCTATGAAACTATTTCTTGTATTTCGATTGTGTCCTTGTCTATTGTTGTGTTGCACCCCGCATACTTAGTACATTCCAAGTACTAACGCATATTTTGCCTACATGATGTCACCATGTAGGGACCGGAGCTACTCTTGATCCTTCTCTCCATTCACGTGGCTAGTACGGTGCTTATCCGAGTTGTTGGTGAGTCCTCAATGATTCGAGGGCTATGTTATGTTTCCTACTCCTATGTTTTGAGACTTTAGCTTGCAATTGTATTTTGACTATGAGGGGAGCCGGTAGTATGTCATGGCCCCGTCCTATCTATGTATGTAGAGGTGTGCGTTGGACAAGTATTTTGTAAATGAGCTTGACTCTTGTTCTATGATGTCATTTTGAAATGGTTTGCCCTTAGTCCCTATTTCCCGTTAAATAAATGTTGAATGTACTTTCGCGACCGATGAAGTGTGATGACAAGTTTGAGAGGCTTGTTTGGGGTTCCTTCGGGTTCCTCATTCGCCATGTCACATCTAGGCCCTAGGCTTGGGTCGTGACATTATGATCAACCTATATTCACTTAACTCTACAACTAAAAGAAACCAAATAACCTTTTCAAGAGTTGATGATTTAGTTAAGTAACTACTAATAATTATGCACTAAATAAAAGTAGCCTATAGTAAACGACTTTGTTAATATGTTTCAAACAAGTTTAAAAACAATTCCAAGGCTGCAGCATACATTGAATAGCATGCATCATATCATTAGCTTAGAATTCACTTCAGTTGTCAAATAACTGGTTTATAGGGTTAATAGTATGGTCCTGGTGGTTCGCCTCTCGCCGCCTACCCCAGTTACCCATCTAACTACATCGTTGAGCGGGGATAGATAAACTAACTGGCGAGCATTTATATTTTATCCTATTTCGTAACCAAGCAAGGTGTTCGTCTGGGCGTCACTCTTGAACACTAATCACCTCAATCTAATGGGTGGACCGAGCTCTCTATATCCTCTGGTCTATCTAATCCCTCCTCATTCGATTTTACGAATAGACACTAAATTTATTCTATGATGTGCAAGCATAAAATAGTAAAACAAGAATATAGAAGTAATTTGGATTGACAACCGAAAATCAATTCATAAAACCTCAAACATTCAACACATAATTCATAGCTACAGCCCCAGAATTAAAGCGGTTAGCTACTCATGCTATTAGAAATCAATAATAGATAAACGTTTATACAAAATTCTGAAAAATAGAAGATTTAAAGGATTACAAACTTGAATTCTTGCTCTTGCACACTCAACAAACGTCCAATGCTTAATAATGAACCCTAGGGGTCTATTTATAATAGTTAGAAAAATTAAGATCCAATCCTAAACCAACAAGGAATCCTATTTTGTTGTATTTTCGCTGGAAAAGTCGGCCTCTCCTTGGCGTGTCGCGCCTACCATTGCGCCTACAGCTTGCCTCTGAAGCCTACACCCTGGCGCGTCGCTCCTCTCAGAGCGCCTGAGAAAGGCCTCTGAATTTTGGGCCTTGGCGCGTCGCGCCTCTCAGAGCACCTGAGAGGCCTCTCTGAAATTTGGCCCTTGGCACCTCACGCCTAGCAGTGCATCTGGCCCTGGGGCCTTCATCCTTAGCCGTTTTTCATGCTCTTTTATATCTGTTTTCTTCAAGTTGACTCCAATTCCTTTGAGAGTTCCTGAAACAACTAAACATGTGTGTAAGTGCACAATCATCACAAGTTACACTAAAAATTAAGCTAAAGACTAGAGATCATCCTTCAATCTAATTGACTCATGGGCAAATATTGACAACTTAGGCATATAAATATGCCTAAGATCAATCATCTATGGATTTTAATCTATCACCATCCGCCATTATTAATCTTCACGCCCAGGTGCATAATCTTGGCTCTGATAACACTTGTCAA